GGAGGAACTCATAAAATACAAAGAATCGCTCATTGACGGTATTTCCAAATTTGTAAATAACGTATTTTTATCATATCCTTCTTCATCCAAAATTATTGATAATCAAAATATAATTTTTAATCTTAATTCTGATATTAGGGTATTTATTTCAAATTTACTTAATTTTGAAAACGAAACAGAAATAATGGAAATTAATAGCGACAGTGAATCGTCGATGTAGATATTATCATAATATCTGAGACTTGGTTTAAAAATGGCCAAAACAATTCTATTAACGGATATTCATTAATTTAAAAAAATCGAGCAGATGGGTATGGCGGCGTAGCTATATTCGTTTCCAATAAAATAACCTTCAAGCAATTACAAATTAATCAAAATTATAACAATAAATTTGAAGCATGTGCTGTTCAACTGGAAAAATCTAAAATTTCCATAGTATCGCTATACAATGATTCAAAAAATAACAACATTTCAACTACTGACTGGGAAAACCTCTTCTCTCAATTCAACTCACCGGTATTATTCTGTAGAGATTTTAATTGTCACCATTCCTTATGGGGTAGTATCGAAGTAGTTTAGGTATAGTTGAAGCTCTAAATAACCTAAATTTAATTGTTTTAAATGATGGCTCTCCCACACGAATTTCTGCCCCGAACACACCTCCTTCTGCTTTAGATCTTGCTATATCTTCGCCAATATTAGCACCTAAATGTGAATGGAAAACAATTTCTGATACTATGGGGCCTGATCATCTCCCTATCTTAATAACTATTACAAATAATCCCGTTAAACAGAAGGTGTTTCCTTCAAATATTTGGAACGAAAAAAAGGCTAACTGGGTTTCCTTCAAATCATATTTGGATAATATTTTTACCTCTTCATCATCTGAATCCACTTCATTCCCAAATTTTAACCTGTCAGATTAAAATAAGAAAACCGACAATTCCGAAGCAGAAGCGGATGATTAAAACGCACCTATTAAAAATATTGCGTCAAGATGTAGGCAACACGTAATAAGGCATCAAAATGGCCTTTTAAAAGGCACTCAGAAAGCTGCGCAGTGCGACTATTCTCCGTATAGTAAGAGAAAATCAAAGTATGTGCGACTCATGCTGGAATAGATCAAGATAGCTGTTTTCCTAGTAAACACTTCGTAACAAGTTTGCTTTTCCTCGACAGCAGCGAATTCAGTCGATAATATAGGACACTAATCAGTAAATCAATTACAAAAATCTGATGTGTCCAACACATGACTTTCCTATCTAGTTATTATAGGCTTTTTCCGGTTATTTTGTACAACCTATTGCAGCATCTCTATAAATGTTTAGAGGATAAACTAAATATATACATTGTCCACATACATCTACCTCGAAACATTTTTCTATAGATATTCATGGAAAACGAAAATACTGAAAAATTTAAATTTCCTACAATTTTTTCATTACGGTCCATTTTAGAAAAATCATGTATAAACAAAAATTATAGAGATCGATATCGCAAAAAACTTTTATTTCAAAAACTTTCATAAAAATCAGAATTTTGCACATTTTGTCAAATTTCTCGAATACGGACCATTTCAGGAAATTTTTACATACAACAAAAATTATAGATAATAATATTAGAAGTAACTTTTATTTGAACAATTTTTTTCTCCAAACATTAATAACAGATATATTCCATAAAATATAAAAGTGGCCTCCCATAAAGTACCCCCCCAGATGTTCCGACTATGTCCAAAATCTAATCATTTCACGTCAGGCCGAAATAAAACTTAAGTTTAAAATTTAATGTTTTTTTTATCCGTTTTTGAGTTTTCTTCAAAATTCGAAATTTACACATTTTCTCAAATATCTCGAATACGGTCCATTTTAGAGAAATTATGTATATAATAAAAATTATAGAGAATTATATTACAAACAACTTTTATTTGAATAATTTTTATAAAAAATTATTTTTTTTTACATTTTGTCAAATTTCTCGAATACGGACCATTTTAGGAAAATTTTGTATAAAACAAAAATTATAGATAATTATCTTAGAAGTAACTTTTATATGAAAAATTTTCTTCTCCCAACGTAAATAACAGATATATTCCATAAAATATAAAAATGACCACCTATAAAGTACCCCCCCAGATGTGCCGACTCTGCCCAAAATCTACACACACACACACACACACACACACACACACACACACACACACACACACACACACACACACACACACACACACACACACACACACACACACACACACACACACACACACACACACACACACACACACACACACACACACACACACACACACACACACACACACACACACACACACACACACACACACACACACACACACACACACACACACACACACACACACACACACACACACACACACACACACACACACACACACACACACACACACACACACACACACACACACCACACACACACACACACACACACACACACACACACACACACACACACACACACACACACACACACACACCACACACACACACACACACACACACACACACACACACACACACACACACACACACACACACACACACACACACACACCACACACACACACACACACACACACACACACACACACACACACACACACACACACACACACACACACACACACACACACACACACACACACACACACACACACACACACACACACACACACACACACACACACACACACACACACACACACACACACACACACACACACACACACACACACACACACACACACACACACACACACACACACACACACACACACACACACACACACACACACACACACACACACACACACACACACACACACACACACACACACACACACACACACACACACACACACACACACACACACACACACACACACACACACACACACACACACACACACACACACACACACACACACACACACACACACACACACACACACACACACACACACACACACACACACACACACACACACACACACACACACACACACACACACACACACACACACACACACACACACACACACACACACACACACACACACACACACACACACACACACACACACACACACACACACACACACACACACACACACACACACACACACACACACACACACACACACACACACACACACACACACACACACACACACACACACACACACACACACACACACACACACACACACACACACACACACACACACACACACACACACACACACACACACACACACACACACACACACACACACACACACACACACACACACACACACACACACACACACACACACACACACACACACACACACACACACACACACACACACACACACACACACACACACACACACACACACACACACACACACACACACACACACACACACACACACACACACACACACACACACACACACACACACACACACACACACACACACACACACACACACACACACACACACACACACACACACACACACACACACACACACACACACACACACACACACACACACACACACACACACACACACACACACACACACACACACACACACACACACACACACACACACACACACACACACACACACACACAGACAGACATCATCGCGAAAATAGTCAAAACGGATTCAGGGGACCTCAAAACGTAAAAATCCGTCGAAAACTCGAGGTCGAAAAAAATCATGATTCCTATACTTTCCTTATATCTGTATACAGATAGGAAAGTAAAAATTGCGAGATTCAATATTTAGGAAATTTGAAGTGATTTTAGGTCTCATCTTCCTAGTTTACAGCTTTTGCCTATAACAAGGAACAATAAATAAGTTAGGGTAATTTTTGTTTTTAACTAAATGCTGCAAAATGGAAAATACTACTTATTTTAAATGACAAATAAATTATTTGAAATAAGTTAAATTTATTAAGAATGAAAATGTCATTGGATTATGCGTTTTATTGTTTTTCAACTGCCTAATCTAAATTATTCTAATTTTAATATTCTCAATTTTCCCTTTACTAATCTATTTACAATTTATCACTTCGGTGAGTATTTGATAAATATAATCATAAATAGTATATCCAAAAATTTAACAATTTCTTATCAAGGCCTTTTTCATGACGTTCTTTTAAATGAGAAAAACTATGACCATGTTCGAGTGGGTGTAATATCTGTTCCTAAATTGCTTTTACATACATCAATCAATTCTTTCCCTTTTTTTTTTGACAACAAATCCAGCTGGGTACATAACTGATAGCCCGGATATCTAAGTTAATTAATTATAATGAAGTGATCGACATTGAATTTTTCATTTTCAAGGATAGTCAATTCATTTTTTTATCAGAGTGTAGTGGTTGTTAAATTATTATCTAACTAGAACTACTATCATCTGCCTCACAGTAGGTCTACGAGGCCTTAACGTAAACGATGGTAGCCATCTTTTAATTGGCAACAATGTTAGGTTGGCAACACTGATAAATTGGGTTAGGTTGCTAGCACTGGTAAAGTAAGATTATAAGGTATTTTTCGCGGCATAAACCAACATAAACGTTTATGCCGCGAAAAATACCTTTATTTTGCTAACACTACTGTATAAATTTCGATAAGATTGTCAAATACACCTAAACCATAGAAAAGATAATCAATACAGAAAAGAAAGTAACTGTTGACACTTTGTGATATAAATTCATCTTTAGTTTCACCATAGAGGTACTTTAAGAAAATTAGTGCATACAAACATAAACTATTCATTGACATTGACAATACTCCACCATCAATAAGAGTTTCGTCTGTAGCCCTATATTTCTTTTCTGTACTGTTCATCTATTCTGTGCCTAAACCAAAGTTAGACGTAACACGTATTAAACAGAAATACATTTTTTGTTGAATATCATTCTGGTAGTTTCTAATAACTTTAAATTTTTTTTCAGACCTCTTCGCAATGACCCACTACCTCAATCTAAACTAAAATGAATGATAGCATTAACTACCTGGCCAACAACTCTGTCTTCAATACAACCAACTCAACTTTCCCACCGAACACCGATTGGGGTCCCAAAAGGGATCCTCTGGCCATCGTTGTACCAATCAGCGTTATCTATATTTTCATTTTCATAACCGGCATCTTGGGGAACATCAGCACTTGCTTCGTAATAGCTACAAACAAGTGCATGCACACAGCTACCAATTACTATTTGTTCAGTTTGGCTATCAGCGATCTCTTGTTATTGATATCTGGATTGCCTCCTGAAATATACTCCATTTGGTCTAGATATCCGTATGTCTTCGGCGAGGAGTTTTGCGTATTACAAGTAAGATATTTTTTTATTAAACATTAATAGTTATCTATAGTAACAGGACGGGAATTTATCTTGAGTGTTTGACTCACTTGAAACAGATGTTATTCTTCCGTACTACGGCAGCTTAAAAGTTGACCAAACTAATTAAACTTTTAAGCCACTTCATTGAAACGTATTTTACGTCTAATAACCGGATTTAATTAAATAAGTTTGATAAAATGCTTTCCGTTTATCGTACTGAGACTGCGCCATGTAATAATATATTATTTACATTAAATTAGCGTAAATGTTTATATTATTTATTTTATCGTTTTTATCGTATATTAATTAAACTTTTAACTACCGTACAATGTTTATTGGCACGACCTTTCTCATATGTCACTCTTCTTTTATGTTAAAGCTAAATTGAGTGAGTTAGCTTGATACTACAAGAAGTTCTTTTTGTATATTCAGAACTTTAAAATTATGCTAACAAATAATTAATATATGTATATGTAAAATCCTTAGAATATATAAAGTCAGGAAGGAAGAATCCTAAACGACCTTGGAATCGCGATGGTATCTAATTTTGACAGTATACCAGACGATTATGGCGACAAGTGTTTCTGGTCTACCAGTGACGTACTATCATAAAGGGGCGTAGAAAAGAAAATAATAAATTCTTATTTACATATTATCTAAAATTCTAAAGTTATTTAAGCAACCGATTCCAGATTGTAAGAATAGGTGATGCGCTCAGTTTACCAAAACAAATAGAATTTGGTGTACCACAGGGGTCGGTACTAGGACCTACGCTCTTTAATATTTATATTAAGAGTTGTTTTCATTAGAAGAAACCAAAAATAAAGTGGAGCAGGATTTTACCCTTATTCTAAAGTGGTTACAATCAAAATAGCTAACAGTTAATGTAGAAAAAACTAATTACCTACCGTTTAGCTGCAACTCCGCTAGTATTCCTCACTTTAATCAAATAAATATTAACACCGAAATATTTACCATTTTACCTAAAACATAAATTAAATATCTAAGAATTATTATTGATCCTCATCTGAGATGGGACATACATATTTCACATAATGTAAATAGACTGAGAACGAGTTTATATAGATTTAGGTTTATAAAATCATTGTTACCTCTGAAACACCTAAAAACATCTTCTCACTTGTTGAAAGCCATCTTCGGTATGCGATTACAGCTTTAAAAACGCACATACAGGGTTTTTCATTATATTTTGACCGTTACTTATATTCAGTCTTATTGCAAACACAAAAAAAAGTTTTAAGTAAAAGCTTTGTTGTTTTACTTGTACCAACTAAAAATTTAATAACTGGCAGAATTGTATATACGCCTCCAACAAAATATAATTTCATTTTTTTATGGGACACCCTATATATTTATGTCATTTTAAGTAGACTTGTATTTCTTGATTACAAATATATAATATTTTAATTATTTAGTGACTTATTGCACTATGAAAGCGTAACACATAGATGGCTATGAACATGATGTTTCCAAGTAAAACAGTTGTTTTTTTTTATTAAAAGTTGTCAGTTGATTGCTTGTAATGGGTTTTACTGTGGCCGTAAAAGTTGAGGTAAAACAACAAAGCTTTTACTTGAAACTTTTTTGTGTTCACAACAATATAATGAAAGTAGTGGTCAAAATATAATGAAAATGGATTTTTAAAATTAATTTTTGAAAAAAACGCTAGGTATCCAACACAATTGCTTCATGCTGAAACAAAAATTTTAAATTTAAGACAACTTTTTATTTTTGCGTCTTGTTATAAACAACATACCAATAAATATAGTGCCCAACTTCCGTCACATACATACAATATTCAACAAAGGCATCATTTTGTTACACCTTTAATGTTGAAAAGAATTACACAATCAACATATACTTACCTAGCACCTAAACTTTACAACATGATTCCTCATGGAATTACAACACTAGTCAGTAAGTTCCTATTCAAAAATAATTTAAGACAGTTCATTATAGAAAATCCCGATGAAGGCATAAACCCTTTCTTCGAAAACTAAATGGAGAATGTATAAGCTATATACCACTTACCGTCTTATTTTTAACTATTTAACCATTTTTTATATTTTTTAAAATTTTTTAATTTTTAAATCTACTTAAGTCATTTTAGATTAGTATTTACTATGTTATTGTCTTAACCGACACAAGTGTTTTAGCACTTATCTGTATTCTATCTTTATTTAATGTGTTTTTTTTTTATTTTTTTTTTACTTTTTTTAATTATTTTAATTTATGATGATATATTTTAGTAATATTTTAAGTATTAATATTTAAAATAAAAAAAAATATATACCCATTTTTTATATACATCTATTCATTCTATCACTGTAACCAATTTGCACATGAATAAAGATGATTAATATTATTATTATATGATGATGAGTCATCCATAGTACAACATGGCTACTACTTCCGTCAGATCGATTAGATTAACGCGGACATGGCATGCTCCTTCCTGACTATATATGTTCTAAGGAAAGATCAGTACTCTGAGGTTTGAGAAAGTGAACGTGTCAGTCTCACCAAAACGTAGGTAAGAATTGAGAAAAAAATCTCTAGATATAGCGACGATGATCCAGCTCACGCTTTCTTTAGCAATTTATATCTAGTAATTTACCTTTATTAATTCAATTCTAATAATTTAGGTTTAATAATTTACCTGTAGTAATTTATCTCTAGTGATTTACTTCTAGTGATTTACTTCTAGTGATTTACTTCTAGTGATTTACTTCTAGTAATTTACATCTATTAATTTACTTCTAGTAATTTATATTTCACAATTTATCTCCATTAATTTACTTTTATTTCTAACAGTTTATTTTTAAAAAAATTACCTCTAGTAATATAGAAATTTACCTTCAGTAATTTACCTATAGTAATTTATCTATAGTAATATACCTATAATAATTTACCTTTAGAAATTTACCAGAAATAATTTACTTGTAGTAATTTACTTGAAGTAATTTATATATAGTAATTTACCTATAGTAATTTACCTATAGTAATTTACCAAAAGTAATTTACTTATAGTAATTTATCTATAGTAACTTACCTATAGAAATTGACCTATAGTAATTAACCTACAGTAATTTACCTACAGTAATTTACCTACAGTAATTTACCTACAGTAATTTACCTATAGTAATATATCTATAGTTACTTACATAAAGTAATTTACCAGCAGTAATTTACCTACAGTAATTCCATCCAGTAATTTATCTCTAAAAAAATGTCTAAAACGATTTTTTCTTTCAGGGTTTTGCGGCCGAAGCCTCAGCTAACGCGACGGTCCTAACGATAACAGCGTTCACGATCGAAAGATACGTAGCCATTTGCTACCCGTTTCTGTCCCACACTCTGTCCAAGCTAAACAGAGCCATCAAATACATCATCTACATCTGGATTATCGCAATTTCTCTGGCAATCCCACAGGCTTTGGCTTTCGGCGTAGTGTGCGAAGTGATCAACGGTCGTATCGTAAACGATCATTGCGTGTGCATACCGAAGAGAAGCGTCATACCTCATGCTTTCGAAATATCCACTTTGCTGTTCTTCGTAGCACCGATGTCTCTGATCACTATTTTATACGTCCTGATTGGTATGCAGTTACATAAATCCCTTCGGCCTATCAAAGGGGATGACGTTAAAATCAGGCATCGTTTATACAAGCCTGTGGTCAATTTCGGCGTCAATCATGTCATGCACGAGTACGAAATGGAGATGAGAAAGTGTAATAGGGTGGAAGAAGATGGAAGGAAGATATACGCGAAGAACGCTCGAGCAGCAAAACACGTCGTGAAAATGTTGGGTAAGTTTTTTTAGTTTATTTATGTATTGCACCCAACTATGTTTCAGCTATAACGTTTAAATTTAGCACTAAGAGTCACTGTTTATTAAACTTAGTTATAAGGTTCCATCAAGTTTATTAATGAAAGAAAAGAATACAATTTGGTATATTTAGACCCAGAGCTTAAGACTGTGGATCTTACAAGGTACAAATTTTATAATATCATATCACAGAAGAAGAATTCGGTACCTGCTTAGTTATAATAATAACAATAATACTACAAAATAACTAATAATAATTAAAAAAAAATACAGTAATTTAATATTACACTATAACTTAAACCCTATTTAAATTTTATTAAGTGAGCTTTTAGTTTTTTTTAAAGAGGTCAATCCTATGTTGTTTATGGTGCTAGGAAGCTCATTGTATTGTCTTAGACCATCAGATAGTAAGCTTCGGTCACTAAGGCATGTTCTTACGGCTGTGGTTCTGAAGTAGCGATTATTCCGAGTATTATATCTATGGATATCATAGGAAGTAGCCAGGTGTATATTATTCAGAGATAGGTTATGAATAAAAATGCATGGCTGATATTTAAAGAGGGACTGAATGTCTAAAATAATATTTGGACGATACAAAAGATCAGTAGGATGACAAAAAGAATGTTGAAAAGCTTTTCTGATTGCTCTATTCTGTAGACTTTGCAAGGGTTTTAATTTATTTTGGGAAGTTTTGCTCCAAATAAGAGTTAAATATGATAGATGTGAATGAATTAGTAAATGATACAGAGTCTTCCTTAAGTCAGCTTAAACACCTCAAAATACTCCAATGGCAGGACTAATTTTTTTACACAATCGAGCAATATAATGTTCCCAGTTGAGCTTGAAATCTATGCAAAATCCAAGATATTTAATGCATTCTGTCTAAGTCAACTGTTCATTGTCTATATTTATTTGGAATTGGTTCAATTCAGGCTTTTTTGATATCACTAAAAAACTTGACTTTTCAGTATTCAGAGTTAATTTATGAATTTGAATTAGATCTTGCTCTATAATATACTTTATTTCGTCTGTATCTTTTCCAAAATAGATGAGACAAGCGTCGTCAGCATAAAGTTGCAAATAACCAGCTAATGGTAGCTGATCTATGGAGTTTATATAGATCACGTTGGTCCAAAAATTGATCCCTGGGGTACACCAAATTGTAGATCAGCCATTTTAATTGAGGTATTTCCATTACTTACAAACTGTGTACGACCATTGAAATAATCTCTATAGAAAGACAATGCATTTGCTGTTATTCCGTAGTCTTCCAAAATAGATAACAGTACTGAGTGATTAACAGTATCAAACGCCTTCTTTAAATCAAGTGAAACATGCATTGCCTTCATCCACATGATGTCTGAAGTTGGTAATCATATCTGTGACTGCCGACGTTGTGCTACTTCCACTACGAAAACCATACTATCCCTTGTACCAAAAATTCTTGTTTTCAAGATAGGAAACAATGTCTTTGATTAATACATTTTTCCAGGACTTTGGAGATAGAACTTAATAGAGATATCGGTCGGTAGTTATTAGTGGAAGTTCTTAGCCCTCCTTTAAATAATGGTAAAACTTTAGCTACTTTTAGTCCATTAGAAATTGAAGCATGAGTGAAAGATAAGTTTATTAGGTTGCTTAAGATAACCGACATCTCGTTTTTGAAATGTTTGATCAAGTCCCCAGAGATACCATCAGCACCACAGGCTTTTCTCGATTTTAACTCTGAAATTACTTTGTTGATTTCTTGAGGGGTAGTTAACTCCCATTAATATAGTTGTTGACGGTTTATTACTGTAGGTTTCGTGTAAGTAGAGTCCGGTATATTTTCTGCTAAGGCTTTACCTATTTCTATAAAATGGATGTTAAAAATATCTGCAATTTTCTTAGGAACTTCTATAGAGTCATCTTCTACTTGCAGTTTTTGTTTATGTTTTATGGTTATTGATATTTTCTAACTTTTCTTCTAAAACGTTTAAAAAAGTGTTTTTATTAAAATCTTGAGGTCTATATATAGCACCTATAACAAAGTTCCTTTGTTCTAATCTTATAAATAGCATAGAACATTTTTCACTTAACCTGTCAATTTCTGTGAAATTGTAGCCTTCTTTTACTAGAATGCCAACTCCACCTCCAGTTTTATTTCTTGATTCATAAATTGCATTATAATCTGGCAAATTAAAATAGTTTTCCTCACCAGGAGAAAGCCACGATTCTGTAACAACAATTACATCAGGTAGATTGACAAGTTTACTAAGTGCTTCAATTTCATCTAACTTATTACGTACTGAGCGAGCATTTAAGTATAATATAGAAAAAACAGATTGATTTGCTTTATTTTTAAACTCATCAAGATTGTTATAAAATTTGGGACTTGTATTAGCTATTTTAATAAAGTTTTATTCAACAGTCTGTAGTTAGTTTTTTGTTTACATTAGTTATTAATTCCACTTAGAAGATCTAAGTCTTCTTTCTTATTTATTCGAACATCATGTTTTCCTATATACACTTTTCCATTTTTTGACCACAAGAATTTATAACCATCATTCTTTTTTAATTTGTATGCCATGTTAAACAAGTTTCTATTGGTGGTTGCAAGTTGTTCATTCATATAAATAGTGGATTCTTTGGTAGCCTTATTAATTGACTTGTTAACACTGAGCATTTCTGAGTCAATTTTACGACCTTTGCGACTGTCTAGGAACTTCTTTTTTATTTTCTGATTAGAGAATTTTGTAATTATAATTGGTCCTTTTTTGTTTCTTTGGTATAACATTTACAGATATCATTATTTAGAATATTACCTTGAAATAAATCATTAGCAATTTCTAGTACAACAGCTTTAGGGTCAGCTGAACTTTTAACTTGTGTACCATGTATCTCAACATTACAGGCTATTTCCTTCATTTCCCTTTCATTTATGCATCCTTCAAGTTGATTCATCTTAATTGTAAGACTCGAATTCTTGTTTTTAAGTGTTTTTAGTTCATTACTCTTATTTTTTTGACTGTCATCAAATTTGGCAGACATAAATGTAACTGCTTCTTGTAAGTCGCTCAGACTCTTCACCACCTCTGCATATGACATATTTAGATCCTGTGGGGTAACACTGATACTGCCAATGGGGTTTCCAACTTTTTTAACCTCACTTTTGACACACTCTGGACATTTTATAGATCCATTAAGAATTGTGCAAACTCTTTTAGCAAAACTTTCATGGAAACAGTTCTTCTTGCAAACAATGCATAGGACGAATATCTGTACCTGATTTTTTAGTTGAAGAGAGATATTTTATATTATGATTCATGTATCATTTCTTTTTGTTCAACTCTATATGTTGCCGTTCCAATTTGCTTGTATGAACTGGCTATTAATGGTTTTATTTAATCCCTCTTAAATATTAGTGGCCCCAGTATTCATATATAATCTGAGACTCGTGTCTCACAGTTAATAATATTACCAGTTTAAAATCAGTAACTTTTAGTTTAATTATTGGTTTTACTATTTTATCCATTGAACCAAAAAAGGAAAAGTTGATAATCGACTACCAGTAACGATTATTTTTTATAATTTAAGAAGTTAAATGTTGAACCAAACGACTGATCATTTGTCATGAATTTTCAAAACCTCATCAACGCTTTAACTGACTATGACTATGTATCCATTATTTTTATTTAATAACTCCGTTTACGTATATTTAAACTTCTAATACGTAGTGGGTCGTTGTCTGCTTAAGGGCAATAAAATCCAGTACAAAGCGAGACACTTTGATATAATATATCTTTATGGTTGCAGAGTGCTTATTCGTGTAACTCAATTACGTAATTTGACTGAAGAATAATCGCGGGTTTGATCGGAGTCACCCAGTCGTAAAACTTCCATTTTCCAGAAAATTCAAAATAATAACGTGTCGAAATTATTAACGAAGATATTCTTTTGAGTCGAAACAGATTTAATATCTCTCGTTAAATGGAAATTATTAGTACAATTGTAAGAATATTCAAGAAAACAAATGTTAAAGTCCAAAAACAACGAGTTTTAATAATTAAAATACAGAACAACGCCGTGATGCTAATTCTCTCAATTACAAAGCTTGACTAACTATATTCATTCCAATACCTAATTTCGCCGACAACATCACTCAAAGCGTATCATGGTAATAGGTATAAACAATCGAAACCAAACATTATTAAAATAGTTTTAATTATTTAATTTTTAGATAAATAAAAGTGGGAATTGTGTCCAAGCTTGTATTGCTAAAAGCGCTACAATGTATGCTTTAATTTGACATAAAAACAATTTCAGTATCTTTATTAGTTTTAAAGATATCACGATAGAAACAAATTCTCTTTTAATACAATTAATTAACATATTTTTGATTTACAAAATTTGAGACCACAAAAAAATGTGAAATTCGATTTCATATGCCTAGTGACATGCTCAAAGAAACCTACCATGTTTGACCTGGTTCTACGCCAGAAAAAAAAGACACGATAGACTCATGAAATCGCTGCTCTATATGTCTTGAATATTAAAAAGTGACTTTTTAAGTTATTTTAATATCTTCATGATAGTGCTTAGAACTTTATAGATATATTTATCTTAAAATTTAATATTATTTCTATACACCAAGAGGCCTTTTTAGTAATTATTGGTACGTATTATTCAATTAATTTCTAATTAAATTGAAAGTGTAATTGATATAAAGTTAGGTCATGTCACAAAATATATCTTTATTTGGCATTTCTTATTTTGCACAAGAGTCCAATTATCTGCCTATAGTGAGATTTCTTGCAATTTTCTTAAGTTAAGCATAACTTATGTGTGATGTTATCAGTTATTGTCATTTAAATATATATTTTCAGTTTTATAATGATTATAGAACTAGAAAATAATCCTGACAATTATTATAAAATGTAAACAAAGCCATGGCAGCAGTGTTGCCAGATAAAAAAATAGGGTATCCTACACTTAAAAAAATGGTATTTTACTGTCAAAAAATTGTACTTTAAAAAATCTTGATATCACCAAATAATGAAGTTTTACAAACCTAATGAACAAATAATAATCAAAATTAGTATAATTTTTTTATTTTAAACTATGATTTAAATAACACAGTATTATTAAGAATGGAAGAACAGAGAACAGACGGTAGGATCATTATGATCTTGCTGAACTGAGCAAATTTGCCAGTTACTCAGTACCCTTTGTATTAATAAAATTGTATCTATAAATCTTTTAGTAATTTATAACTATAACCTATAGGAACATATACAATGAGGATTTATAGGTTGGAATAAATTCGATTTTTTTTAAATAGACCACATATTTTTCTCTTCATTTCTGAATTCCCCGGTAATAGATACATTTTTGTAATCGTCTCTTGCTGCGTTTGAATATCCACATCCGATGCATTTTTTACATCTCGAGCGTTTGTTTATCCACATCGGACACATCTACTACATCTACATCTGCGTTTGTTTATCCGAGATGTAGCTGTCCAGATTACATTTTTACATCTCGATTTGAAATGAGATGTGAATGACATGTTCGTTCCATGCCAAAAAGTAGGTGTTCTGTGAAGCCAAGATTATTGATTTAACCTTTATTTATGCTAGCGTGAACATAAAAATGTTTAATGTGTTTAATTTTTGTTTAGAATATAAATTTAAGTTGATGTCCAATCTCAAATTTTAAATTTAAAGAATATAAACGTCTAACTTGTCATTGCTATTTTATCACGTGACCAATAAAGTCTAGAGCGTTTGTTTATTACATCTACATTTAGATCTAATCCTCTACCACGTGATAAAAAAATTACAACATCTCAGATGCATCCGATGTGGATATTCAAACGCAGCATATTATTGGGCGTGTTTTAGTAGAGATGTGAGACCATTCTTGTTACTTGTTAGTAGCGTAGAGATGTGTAGAATGCTATATTCTACTCGTATTATTATAATGAATGATATAAAAATCTAAAAGTTAAAGATATGTTAGTAAAATGGTATCAGTAGCCAAAAAATGGTAAAAAAATAAAAAGTGGTATCCTCAAAAACTTGCAGGTATCGTAGTAGAATAAATGGTATAAATACCATAAAAATGGTTTACCTGGCAACACTGCATGGAAGTCTATAGACGGCCGTGACAATACCGATATACCGATGTTGACGTCATAAAACCTGCGCACCGCTTCACCTATATCCTTACCTTACACTATTTTATCCTTAGACTAGGTAATAAAGAGAGGACTCACTAAAAATCTTGTTCCATTCTGACACCAACGATATTCGACCAGAGGCGCAATATGTTGGAAATAAAAAACAAACTTGTATTTATGTTATTAGTACTTTATTGATCTTTTTTGGAAAAAAGCAAGTTCAAAGCGTAAAAATTAAAATAAATAAGTAACAATAAATAGGACACAAGAAAAAAATATATTGAAATAAACTGAATGAAATCTATTACACAATAAAATGAGTTTTTTTAAATTCTGCAAAATAAAACAAAATGATCTACACGTATTACAAAAATATGTTCATCCGTTGTTTGAAAAAATGTAAATGGGTCTTTCTTAGCTTATTTCCTAAGTAAAGACCATCTGCATTTTGTAAATTGTCATTTTTTTTATAAATTCCCACCTTATAAAATTGCTTTTGCCATCTTTAAAATTTTTTTTTCTCCAAAAGTATTTTTGATTAATTTTAACATGTGACAGGGATTAAAAATGACAATTTTTTTTTCATTTAATGTAAAATATGGGTTCATGTTAAAAAATCTGTTTTACAGCCAAGCATATATGCCATTGTTACATTTGATGAAGCCTCATTAAAAGTTAAAGACCTGTGCACCTGTGTGATTAATTAATTTAATACACTGTGAAACTATTCCACATTTTTTTGAGTTTCATTCAAACCATTTGCAAAAAAGTAGCCAATTTATAATTTTCATGTTGTATTAACGTCAACAACCATTAAAAAAAACGCTTCTTTTGCAACTTCGTTACTGATGGATCTATGGACCCATCTGGAGAGGCTGGTTTTGGAGCCTTTTCTCCTGATATTTCTTATGCCTTTTCTTCTAAACTCCCTTTTCAAACACAAATTTGTTCAGCAGAAATTGCTGCTATTAATCATGCCATAATGGTCATACTAAAGGAGAACATCCATCACTCTATTATTTTTTCAGACTCTAAGAGTGCCCTCCTAAAAATTAGTAGATCCCTTTTTTCAAAAGAAACGGAAGACTGCTCCTTTCTAACAAAAAGAGCTATTTAATAGGTTTAGAGACAGTGAAAAGTTGCTAAAATAAAAAATATATAAATACTTTTTATTTTAGCATGAAGTTGCCCTATCTACTTTGAGGAAAGTAGTAAACATAGTCGCAAGAGAAGAAAACTGAATTCCACCAGGTGCATGGGGCCTCATTAAGCAAAGCAAATAGGTATTTTAAAATTTTAGCAGATAAAACAGTTTTTATTAGTATTATTCCTTCATATTTGTAAACGAATATAATACAAAATAACTAATAAAGCTTAAAAGACTGCATAAAATCTAAAACCGGCGAAATATCGAATTTCAAACACTATCTCCCATTTAATACTAACAATTCTATGTCCCACGTGACGTCACCGTCAGTCAGCTGCATGCGCAGGAACATACCGTTAGTCTGTGTATCGTGTTCTTTGAAGTTCTATACATCGATCGGGAAGTAACACTGTAATATTTATTGGTTTAGGCAACTGAACAACTTTTCGCGACTGGTGCGCCATCTGGCATAGAAAATATTGATTATCATGGTATCCAAACGTAAAAGAGGACCGTTGGGGGCAGCACCTCCCGATGACCTCTGAAATTTTTAAGCAATGTTCAATTTTAGAAAAAACTACTTACTTTTTCAAAAATGGTAAATACACAAGTTGTTCAGTGGCAAATGAAGAATGGCGTATGATAACATTTATACGTATATGACTTTATTATATTTTTCATTTTATTTTTTTTATGTTTATAGAAAAAAGTTATCATGCGCTAATCTACGATACAAAAAAGATTTTTTTTTTGGTGAGTATTAAGCCCGCAATTTGAACATTAACATTTCCAATATGGCGGACGGGTATAGAACCCTCTTAAATATAAAATCAAATAACGTCATCAATGACACGTTTACAACAAACTTATCTACTGGAAGCGAATATTTACTATATGAGATTATTGTTATTAAAATTAATAAAGTATCGAAATTTTTATTTAAAATTGCTGTTACATAACATTATATAGTTGGTAAAGTAGTTTTTAAAGAATGTACCTACTCAGATATGAATCTCGTCGTAATACTCTTGTCTGGTGTTACAGAAATTGATTTTAATTTTGTATTCATTTATTCATAAACGACAAAGTTTTGCATGAATTCGCTATTCAAAGAAAATCCGAAATTACTTTTCTGAATTTTCTAGAAAATGGAATTTTCACGATTGGATACCTCCTATCAAAACCGTATTTATACTCTAATCCAATTACATCATTGACAGACATAAATAAGCACTATGCAACCTTATATATAATATCAAAGTTTCGCCATTGTATTGTATCTACTCAATTTTATTGAATGGAGTAGACAACAATCGACGGTGGAAGATGTTTAAAGATAATAAGTTAAAGCATTTTCTGTTATTGATTACTTTCTTTTGAATGCATAAATAAGAAATAATAGAGGCAAAGCAAAGGGATTAAATAGCCCTGTCATTCGCGATTTTAAATTAAAATCCTAGATCCTTGCGAAAACTCACATAAAACAAAATAAGAAAAACAAAATATAATAGGTTTTTTTCCTTTCAGTTGCTGTTGTGATAGCTTTCTTCATTTGTTGGGCGCCATTTCACGCCCAAAGACTTTTCGCTATATACGGAGCACCAAACTCGCGACAAGTGATAACAGCGTTTCAAATTTTGACTTACATCAGCGGCGTTTTCTACTATTTATCGACAACCATAAATCCTCTTCTTTACAACATCATGTCGCACAAGTTCAGAGAAGCATTCAAGGTAAGCTGACTGAATACTGCTTTTAATTTACTAATATAGTGCTCCCAGTGGAAAACCCTAAATCATCACCATATGTGGCCAATACCAAATAAGATGCAATATTAACTCGCCCTTTTAGGAGTTTCTTTCCTCTCCTGAGAGGTTCAGCAGGCTTCTTCCAGATTGGTTTGGGTTCATCCTGCCTTCTTTCCTCTGAAGTTCAAATGGTGCCACTATATCTCCCTGAACTTATTGTGCCTTCATTTGCATACCCTTCCCATTCATCCAACTCATACCTTCTACCCGTACGTTCTCCAGACTCTACAAGTTTGGTAACCCATCCACACCTTCAATACCTTTCAGTCGCCCACTCTTAGGCAATTTTCTTTATTTCAGGCGACTTACAAACAATGCTGCAAAAAAAGTCAACGCCTTCCAGGCGGCAGATTCTACTCATCGTTTTCGGCGCGTTCCTCCCAAGTAAACAGCCACAGCACCGATTCCCAAATCCAAAGCACCATTCGGTATTTGGAAGAAGAAATTGCTCATATTCGAGACCAGAAACGCCCTCTAGTGGTGTCTTTCAAGAAAAAGAAATACCCTTCGCCGTACTACAACCCTGAGCTTCGAGAAGCATTACAAACGCTCAGGAATAGTAAATTGGATAAAATAAACTCGTATCAAGGTAGCTGTGAGGTTAGATTCAAAGCGAACTGTCACATCGATTTGAAGAAAGTCAAAGCTTATGCCCAAACGAGGTTCGACGTCAGCGACGACGTCCAGGCGGCTTTGGATTTACTTCGAACGGCCGACGCGTCAGCAGGATACGAACCTAGTAGCCCGAGCGCCAACGGCGATTGTTCTAACGCGAAGACTGACGAAGCGACTGAATCACAGAAGATCGAGTATTTGGAGTTAAAGAGACATTGCAGTTTTATGAATGTCAATAGTTTGCAGCCGACTCATATATGTCCGTTGAATAAAAACGTTGAATTTTTATAAATAATTTTACGAAAATTGTGTAAATATATGTTTAAAGTTTTATAAGAAATTTTGTAAATATAGTTTGAAAAAGTTAATAAAAATTGAATGTTTTAATTTGATTTTTATTCACTCGCGGAGGATGCACAATGGATTTAATGAAGGCTTAGTGACATGGAGCTACAAGTAACAAGACGGGACAAATTTGAATGGTATGTATTAAAGACAGTTTAGAAGTTGCACTTCTTGGTGAGGAGAACAAAAAACTTTATTTAGATATCTCAATTATTAATAAACCACAAATACTTTTTTGTAGTATGGTCTAGATGTACTGATAAGTGTTGTAAAATTATAGAGAAATAATGCATAACGAATTCTCCAATTGTATACATAGTTTGTTCTAATCTATAAAATATTAATATCTGATAGATATATGGCAAATAAAAAGTTGTACAAAGACATGGCTCGTGCTCATAATTGATCCCAGATAGCACAAATACGTCTTATGGACGTTCTAAAAACGTCCTGCTTGGACATTCAGGACATCCTCAAAACGTCCATTTCACGGCCGTGGACGTCTTATGGACGTATTTGAAACGTCCATTGTTAATAATCAGGATGTCTTAAGAACCTCCATTTAAGGACATTCCATGGACATTTTTAAAAGCTCAAATGGGGAATAATAGGATGTAAGGAAATTAGTAAAAATAATGAATAATTTCAAAAAAATTTATTTGGAAGCAAATAACCTATAAATAGTGAAATTGTTAAATCTTTTTCTTCAAATTCATCCCGTCTCTCTTCTACTTTGCTCTTTTCAACCATTCCTGGATTGACAGCAGTCAGTTTTTATCTTGATTTGGTCATATTCGTAATAAAAGGCATATCAAAATTAAAATCCAATCTGTTTGTTTCAGTTTGCCTTGCTAGACATTATAAATTCACTAACCTTTTAGCTTTGAAAAACTTCCTCCTTTCTCAGATATAAAAATGGTACAAATGGCGGAATGATAGAACTTGTACTCGTATAATATGTATATACCATCGAATCATGAACATTGAACACTTTGTTTTAATAAAACCTGAGCCCTGGGAATATTTCACTTCAGTGCTTGAATCTGAATGTGATCTGAATCATATCTAAATAATTAAAAATAAAAAGTCACTTGTCAACAATGTCACTTTCTTGCAAAAGATCTTCTTTGTTTTGTCTATTTGGCCTTCATTCAATTGGATATTGGGACAATGCCATCTTTAATAATTATTTATATTATCTCATTATATATGTTTTTTGTATAATATAACCAAATATTAATACAATGCGAATGTGAATCCATGGAAATATAGTAAAGTACGTACAATTGTCGTTTTGCGGATATCTATTTCTTGACGTCCCGAGGAATTACTAAACTGGACATACTTAAAACGTCCATAATAGGTCCCGGACGTACAGACGTTAAATGGACATGTATTGGACGTCTTTAGGACGTCCTGTGCTATCTGGGATTGCACTTATCTAGCTCAGGCAGATCCAAATTCAAACATTTTTAATCAAATGGTTTTTGTATTCATCAATATTTTTTAATAGCTGTTTCATATCTTAATAATATCGTAATAATATGGAAAATATGCATGATGATCATTTTTTTATTTCATTTTTAGACCTTCTATTATCATTGTTACATTTAGAATTTTTAGTCAATAATTGGCAAAGTGCCCGCAATGAATGCGAATATTTTTCATAGTTTAACACAAACTATTTGAAAAATAATTTTATATACTATGTCCTATACTTAACTGTTTCGGAAATATTAAATGTTTTCCGATGTATTGCAAAAATTAACATTAACAAAATACAGAACTTTTTCAAACTCTGCAAATTGGCAAATTTTTCCGCCGAAATTGGTATTGGACCTGGAGCAAATAAGAAAAATGTAAAAGTCAAACTAACGGTATTATTAGTATAGGTTTACCTGCGTAAGATATTTCTGGAAGAAGAAATTGGCTGTTTCTATCCAAATTTTTGAGAACGATAGATTTTCTATCCATCACAACTGCAGAGAACCATGTCCCATTGTATATGTCTCTACACTTGATTAACCTGGGGCGTTCTTTTGAAACTTCAAATTGCCTTATTGGCTAAATTGAAAAGCTAGTTTTTTTTTGTAGAATTTATTCAAGGGTTCGTAAAATTTTTAAAAATGTGTTGATTGTCTGCTGAAATATGTTCCACTACAAAGGGCGAAGGTTTTTTCTGAAACATTGAACGAGGTCACATAATTCCTTCACAGTTTCAACTCTGGATTTTTGATTGATGATTCCCATATTCTTATCATTTTCTATAAAGAATGGCCTCTACTAGGTAAAGTAACTCGTACAGAATCAAACCTTTTTTATTGGTGAACAAGATTATGCAAGTAGCGGAAAAAGGTGTAATTGTTGTTTTGTCCACCGCAGGAATCACAAAACAAATCCAAGTGTCTTACATTTAAATCAAGATAATTATATACAAAGTGATTCAGTAGAGGAGAAACATCATCATTACCTTTTTTGATGATGGTTTCTGGGTATACATACACTTCTTGAGTCAGAAAAAACGTGAACGTTAAACAAATAATTGGAAAACTGTCTCTGGTAGTATACATCATTAGTAGGAATTTTGGGGATAGGAAAATGTTTACTGAAGTCTATACAGATTGACTCTTTTACATTTGATTTACTACTTAAAAGCTTTGATTGCTTTTTAATTGAATAAAATGATCTTGCTTTACATAAATGCAGGTCATGTGATGTGGTCAGTTGTTTTATTTCAGCTGTTACGTCTTCCTTCTTTGTTTGATCTAGTTTTTGGTTTTCATGGTCCAGACATTTTATTTTAGCTAGGTATTCGTCACATGTGCTGTACGTGTCTGTTCTTGAGTAAGCAAAAGCTATATTAAAATTTGTGGTGAAAATGGTTCTGTAGGTCTCGTATGATACTTGGTTGCCAGGATGCATCTTTTTAAATATTTCCCACATTTTATTTATGTTGAGCTTTTCAGGCAAATATTTTTTCTGAGAGTCTTTGGTACTATAATAACTGTCTCTACCTTTAAATGATAATATATCCTCTTTAATTTTATTACGAGTATCATCAGACAGTGTTAATGATCTATTTGCGTGTTTTCCTGTTTTCCTCTTTTATCGGTTGGAGGCATGCCAGTATTTTTCAAAGATGTGAGTAAATACTTAACTCTACGTCTGGTGATGCCATGTAAAGCTATAAACTCATCTCGACACACCTCTAATTTTTAAAATAATTTTCATATAAATATCTAATCTTATAAAGAGCTACATTTCCTTAAACGAGCATTTTCTGGTAATATCTAGGATATACTTATATTATTCTCAGAATGTCTTAGGAATAACCAAGATGCTTCAAAAAAAGATATTCTAGGTAGGTTTATGAATACCTATTCTAGGTAGGTTTAAAGGATATTCTATTCTAGGTAGGTTTAAAGGATATTCTAGGCAGGTTTATTATCTAGAATATTTTTAGGTAGTATAGGACAATAATACCTCTATTTCTTGAGATGAACTATATTATATCAAGAATTATTGTAAAATCTGTTTATGTAAGGATACAATTTAAAATTAGTTGATATAACATGCCAAAAACATAACCAAAAAATGGCCGTTTATTTTTTAAATGACCCGCCCTGTATTCCTATTCCCTTTATTTTTTTCCACTTTGTAACTCCATAAATAGATTTCCAAAAACGATATAATATAGTTTCACCTTTAGAAATAGAAATTACCTGTGGTTTACTGTATGTAAACATCATTTAAAACATAAAAATTTGAATAAAATTCGTATGTACAAAATAATATTAATATATTATAGAAATAAACAAATCAAAACTTTAAAAAAATACAAAGCTAAAACGTCATGTATTAACAACTGAAGAAAAAAAAAACAACTTAATTAACTACTGACCTGGTGCAACCTCCCGTAGGCAAATACTTCGGGGGGTATTTAAAAAGATTCTTGGATCTCTAGGTAATGACTGAAAATTTTTAATGTCAGTTTCACTTGATTCAGAAAGAATTTTTAATAAACCATGCAAGGCTGAATGGGTGATTTTATTTATTATCAATAGCCCAAGTACTAAGTTTGTCTGTTACACTTAATTTTCGGGATTTACATTCACCCTTCTATTCTTTAATGTCTACTACTTGATTGCTGTTCAATTCATTGTTAAATTCTAAATCCGAAACTTGTATAGAAGAACTAGAACAAGAGCTAGAAGAACTTGAAAAAGATTTGGAGGGACTTGAAAATTTACATGGACTAGATGAATATTTTGATTTACAGGGACTAGCACAAAATTTTGATGTAGCTGCTAAGTGATCAAAATCTTTACAGGTGGAAACATCAGTACTAGTGACAGAAGCAGAACTATTAAAATCTTGGACATCTTTGTCGAGATGTCGGTACCAGGTACTATTTTTTTGTCTTTTCATTTTATGTAGAAAATGCAATTACTTACCTAAAAAAAGAGCAAAATTCCTACATCAAATACCACAATTAACACAAATACTTCTGTAATAAAGGCAACTATATCACTAAAAAATCTAAAAATAAAACCAAATAAAGCATAAGCGGGATATCAACGGCAAAATGGCAAATAACCTAAAAAACCCGAAACAGCTCATTTGTCATTTGTCAAGTCTCAGTTATTCTTCTTTTTATTCTTCTTTACCTTATGATATCTGATATCACCTCTTCTTTTAAGGTTACTAGAAAAGGTTTTTTTACATTATTTCTATGATGCACAATAGAAAATAAATATTATATATTTCATAAAAAGTGCCACTAAATAATTTGATATTTTATAAAATTTTTCAATATACTTTTATTCAATATTTTTATATTATTCCTCTAGCATGAGTTTTTTTTAATATTTCCAAAAGAATATTTTTGGTATATTAATAAAAAGTATTCCCTGAATATTCTTCAAATAATATTCATAGAATGTTCCACAAACGC